TGCTGGGCTCAGGTGATCCTTCCTCCTCAGCCTTCCAAGTAGCTGGAACTACAGGCACACACCACCATGCCCAGCTAATTTTTTTAAAAATTTATTGTAGAGATGAGGTCTTGCCATGTTGCTCAGGCTGGTCTTGAACCTGTGAGCTCCGGCAATCCTTTTACCTCGGCCTCCCAAAGTGCTGGGAGTATAGGCATGAGCCACTGGGCCCGACACCCCCCTCTTTTTTTAACAATAGCTCTATTGTGATATAATTCACATGCCACACAATTGCCTATCTAAATGGCTTTTTGTATATTCACAAAACAGTGTAACTATTACCACAGTCAATTTTAGAGCATTTCTATCACCCTAAAAAGAAATCCTGCACCCCTAAGCCATCACATCCAAAGCCCCATCTTTCTGCCAGACCTAGGTAACCATTAATAGACTTTTTATTTCGATAGATTTACCTATTTCAGGCATTTAATATAAATGGACTCATACAATATATTGTCCTTTGTAACTGTCGTCTTTCACTCAGCAAAATATTTTTATTTTCATTTCTTGAGTCAATGTCTCACTCTGTTTTCCAGGCTGGAGTGTAAGTCATATATCATGACTCACCGCAACCTCAACTTCCTGGGCTCAAGTGTTTCTTTCACCTCAGACTCCCGAATAGCTAGGACTACAGGCACATGCTACCATGCCTGGCTAAATTTTTTATTTTTTTTTTAGAGATGAGGTCTAGCTGTGTTGCCCAGGCTGGTCTCGAACTCCTAGGCTCAAGCAGTCCTCTAGCCTCGACCTCACAGAATGCTGGGATTAAAAGCGTAAACCACTGTATCCAGCCTATCTAGCACAGTATTTTCAATGTTCATACGTGTTTTACCATGCATAAATACTTTATTTCTTTTTATTACTGAATTATCTTTCATTGTATGGATATGCCACATTTTTATCCATTCATCAATTGATATAGTAGATTGTTTCCACTTTTTGGCTATTGTGAATAATGCCACTATACACATTTGTATACAAGTATTTTCATGAACATAGATTGCTGGGTCATGTGGCAACTCTGTTTAACCTTTTGAGGAACTGCCAGACTGTTTTCCAAAGTTGCTGTTCCAAAGTTACCTTGAAGTCCTAGCATGGCAACCCAAGTACATACATATACAGATCTTAGAAGATTCTAGATCTGAAAAATAGGCAGAACTGTTTTAAACATAGCATTTTACATTCCCACCCACAGAGTATGAAGGTTCTAATTTCACCACATCCTTGCCAACACTTATTGTCTTTCCTTATAATTATCGCCATCCTAGTGGGTATGAAATTGTATCTTACTGTGGTTTTAATTTACATTTTCCTAATGATTAATGATGCTGAGCATCTTTTTATGTGCTTATTGGCCATTTGTATGTCCTCCTGGGAGAAATGACTGATCAGATTCTTTGCCCATTTTTAAATCAATTTGCTTGTCTTTTTATTATTGAGTTGTAAGTGTTCTTTATATTCTAGATACAAGTCCTAATCAGATATATGATTTTCAAAGACCTCTCATTGTGTGGTTTGTCTCTTCCCTTTCTTAATGGTGTCCTTTGAAGTATGGTGGAGTTTTGTTTTGTTTTGTTTTGTTTGAGTCAGTGTCTCACTCTGTTGCCCAGGCTGGAGTGCAGTGGTACAATCATCACTGCTTCAGCTTTGACTGGCTGTACTCAGGTGATCCTTCTGCCTCAGCCCTCCAAAATAGCTCAACTATAAGCATGTGCCACCATTCCTGGCTAATTTTTTATTTATTGTGGAGATGAGGTCTCGCTGTATTACCCAGGCTAGTCTCGAACTCCTGGGCTTAGGCAGTACTCTCGCCTTGGCCTCTCAAAGTGGTATGATTACCAGCACGAGCCGCTGCGCCTAGCCAATATTACAGTTTCCAATTTTGGTGATGTTTAATTTATCTTTTTTTTTTCTCTTGTTGCTTGAGTTTGGGATATCATATCTAAAAAATTATTGCCTAATCCAATATCACAAAGTAAAGCATCTGTATTTTGTTTCAGTAGTTTTATATTTTTAGCCCATTCATTTACTTCTTTGGTCTACTTGAGTTAATTTTATATATAGTGTTTTCTGTTTAATGAGGTATTTATTTTTTATCTTTTTTTAAGGGGAAAATTTGCATAGCGACGCAGGCTTGCTCTGTTCCCCATGCTGGCTCAAACTCCTGGTCCCAAGCAATCTTCCCATCTCAGCTTTCTGAGTAGCTGGACTACAGGCAACTTTTTATCTTAATTTTTAATTTTAGTATTTCTTAATATTGCTATTGCCTCAGAATTTTTTCTTTTATGAAAATGTTCAAAAATATATAGAAGTTGAGAGACAGGTACAGTGAACTAACCCATGATTTAACATTTACTCAGATATTTGCTATTGATTTTTTTCTTTGATTGATTGATTAAGTTGGGCTCTCACTCTTTCACCCAGGCTGGAGTGTAGTGGCATGATCACCGCAGCCTCAGCCTTCTGGGCTCAGGCAAACCTTCCATCTCAGCCTCCTGAGTAGCTGGAACTACAAGCATGCATCACCATGCCTGGCTAATTTTTTGATGTTTTGTAGACACAAGGTCTTATTATGTTGCCTAGACTTGTCTCAAACTCCTGAGCTCAAGTGTTCCTCACACCTCGGCCTCCCAAAGTGCTGGAATTATAGGCGTGAGCCAATACACCCAGCCTACTTTAGTTTCTAAACTTTTCTCTGTGCTCCATTTGTTTTATAAGAGGTGTTAAGTGATGTCAAGGCTAGTCACTGTCACCCTGTAAAGTACCGGATGTTCAGAGCCTTACTCTTTTTTCGCCTTTTGTTAGTGGTACCACAAGTCTCTCACATAGGCTTAAAGAAGATATTTTTTACTCTTTTGCATAATGCACTCAGATCTGTTAACTATTTAGTTTTGAGAAAGTTACTTCATCATATTAGGAGCTTACTGGGTGCTTTCTAATTGAATTGGCATAACCTCTGACAGTCTTGTTTATATAATATATAATATTAGTAGATTGGATTAGATCATTTTCTAAAGATTCTACTAGCTCTACAATTCTGCTTTTCTATTATAATAGTAATAATAGCTACATTTACTAAGTCTTACTATGTACCAGGTACTAAGCCAAGTACTTTACAAATATCTCCTTTGAATGCTCAGAATAACCTTATGAGGTAGGGATTATTATTGACACATCCCCTTTTTATAGATGAAGAAACTAAGATTAAATTTCCAAATTGTCACTTAGCCAAGTAATGAGATACCAGAACCTCTGTTCTTACCTACTTCATGATGATTCAAAGTCCAATAGAGTTTACCTCTGTAATGTGACTTGCATGAGTTCCCTTCTGTTCTTTCCACTAATTTCTATCTTCATTTACATCTCTGACCTAGATGATAACAATCAAGTCCTAACATGTAGCCCACCTTTAGACTTTTCCAGTCCAAATACAGTCAATCAAATTTCTCACCTGCTCAACTTTTTTTGGTATCTCCCATAACCTATAAATAGAGATTTCCTGGTTTGGCATTTAAAGCCTATGTAGAGTGACCCCAGCCTCTCTGTGTAATGTGTTACTTCCCTTTTTTTTTTTTTTTTTGAGTTGGAGTCTCACTCTGTCGCCCAGACTGGAGTGCAGTGGCTGCTTCCGGCCACCGCAGCCTCACCCTGCTGGGCTCCAGTGATCCTTCCACCTCAGCCTTCCAGGTAGCTGGAATTACAGGCATACACTACCACACCCAGCTGATTTTCTGATTTATTGTAGAGATGAGGTCTCGCTGCCCAGGCGGGTCTCGAACCCGCGGGCTCAGGCAATCCACTCACCTCAGCCTCCCAAAGGGGCGGGATTACAGACTCAGCCACCGAACCCGGCTGTTACTTCCCTTTGCATATTCTGCCTTCCAATCAAAATAGACAATTTGCCATTCCCTGGATATATTCATTCTATCCTATGCCTGTGTATTTGCCCACATTGTTAACCTACCAGCTTTACCTTGTTAAAAGTCAGTCCTCTTGCAAAGTTTGGCTTGGATGTCATACTTTGACTTCAGTCTTTCTTTGCAAAACAAGTATGGTCACCTTTCTCAGTTTTATGTTATAATCCTTTATGTAATTGTCTTAACCTCAGCTTCTAACTCCATTGTCTGTTCCTCAAGACAAGGCCTGTGTCTTAACTCATTTTTATTTCTCCTATAGCACCAAACATAGGATATAATAGGTTCCCAAATCTTTTTGATATAATAAAATTGAATTGGATTTTACACATTTATAGCAAATAATAAGAGACTACAAAAATAATTTTTAAGCCGGGCTCGGTAGCTCAGCCTGTAATCCTGTGCCTTTGGGAGGCTGAGGTGAGTGGATTGCCTGAGCCCGCTGGTTCGAGACCCGCCTGGGCAGGCAAGACCTCATCTCTACAATAAATCAAAAAATTAGCTGGGCGTGGTAGCGCGCGCCTGTAATTCCAGCTACTCGGAAGGCTGAGGCGGAAGGATCGCCGGAACCCAGCAGGCCAAGGCTGCAGTGGCTGGGAGCGGCTACTGCACTCCAGTCTGGGCGACAGAGTGAGACTCCAACACAAAAAATAATAATAATAATAATAATTTTTGTATGATTGCAGATCAGAGGTTTTTCTGATGTCTTTGAACTGGCAGACATCAGTTGAGTAATGTCAATCTGGTTTCTGTTTGTGGCATATGTGCACAATGTGGTGCCAGTGGTGATATTACAATTCTGCAACCGATGATTCATAATTAGAATAAGTTCAGAAGATACCTTAGCTAGGAAGCCCTCTTTAATTGTTAAAGTCTGAGTCAGGCCCCATCACTTGTGCCCCTGTGGCACATTGGCATTGCCCTCATCACATATTGTTGTCATGTACATACGTCCATCCTTCCTACCATAATGAGCCCCTTTAGGCCTGAAACCACGTTTTATTCATTCTTGTCTTCCTAGCAACTAGCAGAGTGCTTAACACATAGTAAGTAATTTATTTTATTTTTATTTTTTTGTCAGAGTCTTACTTTGTTGCCCTTGCTGGAGTGAAGTGGCATGATCATGGCTCAATGCAACCTTAACCTCTTTGGCTCAGGTAATCCTATCACCTCGGCCTCCTGAGTAGCTGGGATTATAGGTACATGCCACCACACCTGGCTAATTTGATGCTTTGTAGAGGTGAGGTCTTGCTGTGTTGCCCAGGCTGGTCTCAAACTCCTAGGTTTAAGCAATCCTCCTGCCTTAGCCTCTCAAAGTGCTGGGATTGTAAGCATAAGCTGCCATGCTCAGCCACAGTAAGTTTTAAATGTTGAAAGCTTGAATGAGGCATAGAATCCCACCAGACCTTAAAGAGACTTCCATGACTGGAGAAGAATTTTAAAGAGCCTTCTTGCCTTTATAATTCTGATTTTTTCCTTTCTATTTTCTTTATAATTATTAAGTATAAAAAATTTCTACCTCAATCTGCAGCTGTCATCACTGACAAATGAAGTCTCTAGACATATAAAGCAATGGAGCTAAAGGTCATGGGATCCACCGTACTTGGCCACTATATCATTATCTTGTTTTCCTGGAGTTCCTTGCTTTAACTTTCTGCTTTTGAAATTATGAAAAAAGAACCATTGCTTGCATAAAGTATAGGTTACAAAAATGCATTTTGTTTGATCCACGTGATATTTTTCTTTAAATATTGTACTGAGCCAGGCATGGTGGCACACACTTGGGAGGCTGGGGCAGGATTGCTTGAGCTCAGGAGTTTGAGACTGTGGTATGCTATAAGCACACCTGTGAATAGCCACTGCACTGTTTCCTGGGCAATATAGCAAGACACTGTCTCTAAAAAAAATGTGTACTAGATATGAACATATCAAGAGATTTTTAGAGTTCTTATTTCTGAACTATTATTTCTTCTCTTGGACAAAATGGAAGTTCTGCTGTGCTGGACCCACATCACAATGTACCAAGATATGGCTGCCACTTTTAGATAAGAAGTACTCACCCCAATTTTCTCACAAACTTGCTTTATTTGTGTTTATATTTAATTAGCCAGTCCCTTTTTAAATGTGTTTGATTGTGCTGATTTCTGTAATCACTTATAGACATTCAAATCACAAGCTTTGCGGGGGGGCAAGAACATACTGTTTTTGACATTGAGCTTTTTGGAAATGCTTAGCAAATGCTTGTTAATTGACATTCTCCAACTATTCTAAATACTCATTTGTGTAGTCCCTTGCCTTCACAGCTTAAATAAAACTTAGTTGACAAAGAGTTTCCCTGTAAGTATTTTTAAAACTTTACCCATTATATCTGTTGCTGGCTTTTAGGTCTAAATAAACAAGATGAGAAGCAGTTACAAGAACTTGCATTGGAAGAAAGGCAAACCATTGATAAAAAAATCAACATGTTGTACAGAGAGGTAGGTATTAGGAGACAGATTAATCTCAATAGTGTTATACAAATGAATACTGTTTTTGCTAGACTCTGCTTTGTTGCTCAAAGTACTTTCCAAATACCGGCTTATAGTTGGAGTTTAAGTGTTCTTGTATGGTAAGTGATATAGTCGGAGTTTAGGGGTTCTTGATGACAAGCTGGATTGAGTGCTGTAATTTACTGCAGAGTGAGATTGAAGAAATTGTGACATCAAAGAATGAAACAAAGACCCCTACAGTAAAAAAAATTTCAAAGCTGAGTCTATTAATTTGTTAAACAAGAGAACACATGCTAGTAAAGAACTTGAGATCTCCATGGGGAAGAGTCAGAGAGTTTTAAGTGTTAGAAGGGGGAGAGGTGACTGTGTTAAGGACTGTGTTAAGGACTGAACATTTTCAACCTGGATAGAATGGAATCCAAGGGTGTAGAGATGGTTGGTTAGTACAGGTCTTTAGTTAGGTCTAGTAAGAGTCTGCCATACTGGAGTCTCTCAGGGTTCATGATATTCTATCAGCATTAACTGACATCTCCTAGACATGGAAGTGGAAAATTTTCCTTCAGTAGTGGTCTCTTTTCCTTCTAGCTCAGTGGTTGGTGTGTCTGTAAAGACAATGGAGAACGCAGTGCTATATACCTTGTTTCTCTCTGTCACATTTGCTATCTTCCTACCTAGTCTTCCTTACTGTGGGAATCTGGGAGAGGGGCTTTTTGAGGGCTAAGGTGAGTGAAGTAGAGGTATCGGTTGTCTTTATCACTGATTTAACCAGTTAGTCAAAGGCAGATATTTGACTCTTAGTGTAATATTCTCTCCAACAAACTATACCATTTCTAGCAGAGAGTAGGGAGAGTCATGACACCGGCACTTTTAGTTTAATTTGCAAGACCTTTTAGTCATAATGAAATTGCTTTTTCTTCCTGAGAGTAAAGTTGGTGGTTACTCTTTTTATTAGGAAGCCCCTTTTTTCTTGTCACAGCTGAGAAACTCTATTTGAACTTTATCTTGGGAGTCCTCTACATAGTCTTTAATTAGAGTAATTGCTGAGAAGACAGGGCGTGGCATGGTGTTTTATGGAGAACACAAAATCATATGTAAAAAGTCTTCATTCTCTCCAAATGAAGACTTTCAAAGCCTCACTTCATTCTTTAGATAAAAGATGCTACTGTTCAGAACTAATGGTAAGAGATAAAATCTGAAGAAAATTGAATGGAACACTCTGGACTTTGATCTAAACTTCTGCATTTTAGAAAAGTGAGATAACCTGATAGCATTGTAAAAAATGTCTTGACAAGTAACTCCATTGTTAACATGAACTCATCACCTATTTTAAGTCTAATTAGATCTACTTATTGCATTTTAGGACTACTTCTCTTGAGATGCTATATGATTTTGCTAATTACTGATTTTTAAATGTTTTGGGAGCTTTTGTCTAAGTTCAAGTAATATACTATACCAGGGAAAATGTACACACCAGTGCTATTTTTTTTTCTTTTCCAGCTTTTCCAGAGTCTAGTGCCAAAGGAGAAATATGACAAAAATGATGTTGTTTTAGAGGTGACATCTGGAAGAACTACTGGGGGTTAGTAAACTTATTTTTTTGTAAATGATCTTAAAAATACTTGAATTTTACCTTGATTTGATAACACTGTAACTTTAAAAGCGTTACGTGTGTTTGACTTTGGAAATAGTTATTCTTCGTTGTCTAAGGGGCTCATACCTAAGGCTGGCTTTCTTAGAAATTTGTCCTAACTAGATTTTTTTGTATTTTCTTTTAGGTGATATCTGCCAACAATTTACCCGAGAAATATTTGACATGTACCAGAATTACTCGTGCTATAAACACTGGAAATTTGAACTTCTGAATTATACAGCAGCAGATTATGGTAGGCATATTTGAGGACTTTGTCCATAGAGGATGCTGAAAATTATTTTACCTCTGATCTTAATTAGAACTAGGTTGTCCCATTTTAAAAAACTTTTGGTCTTTATTTACTAAACACTGTGACATAGACTCACCAATCATGATGGCTAACTGTAGTAGTGTTCTTAGCTGGGAAAAGAGATTGGGAAGGAGAGAATCATCCTGGAATATGTGAATTAGAGAAATTTCTCCTATGGATGATAAATAACTAGCTTACCTTGAAAATCATGCTGTCTGTTGTTGGAAACAAAGACGTATTAAGGTTTTTACTCTAGACAGCTTTATCATTTACATGATACCATCAGAAAATATTAGACTAAGTAGCTAATGATGTGTTAGGTTTTTATGGGAATATAGAAAAAGTTAATCATTTGTCTTTATTTTCTAGAAACTTTTACTTTTTTGAGGCTGACAAAAATTTATGCAACGTAAGCAATAACAAACAGTGCAAGTTCTTAAACTCTTATTGAAGCATGTTATTTCAAAACAACTGATAGAAATTATTTTATTTTTCCTGTTCTTTTAATTGATCTGGAAGTTATTGTCTGCTTGGTTATATAGTGATACACTGTAGTAGATGGGGGAGTCATCAGTACTAAACCACAGACTGTCCGAGTGGGGAAGAGGATTAATGTGAGTTAAATAATAGAAGGAAATAAAAACCAGTGTAGAGCATAAGTAAATTGCACTTGGAGTCTATTTCAAGTACAGCTAGTGGTCAGGAAAGGAGAATATCAGTGAGAGCAGAGAAAAGGAGCAGCCTGAGTAACAGCAGGGTAGTGGGGGAGAGCTTGGTGTGTGGGTGGGCAGTTGAGGCCAGTTCACCTTATTTGTAATGGGAAGTAATAGCTGAGGGGGTAGATTTTGAACAGCCGAAGGCTGAACTTTGATTGATGGAATAAAAAGCTGTTGAAAATTTTATTAGTAAGAATATAATTTGATAAAATATATTACTTAAGAAGATTGTTTTGACATCAGTACAAAGGATGGATTGAAAAGGCTAGACTTAAGGCAGACTGCAAAGAAGTAATTAGAGTAATCTAGACATGATAAAGAGTTAGAACTGGGAAAGGATTACATGTGAGAGACCTTCAAAGATGAATAGGTGTCATTTGCAGAGTGACTAGATATAAGATTGACTGTTGCTTGCCCAGTATGTCCTATGTGTACACACTCACAATCCTATGAGATAGGTATTTTTTTTTTTTGAGTTGGAGTCTCTGTCACCCAGACTGGAGTGCAGTGACCACTCCTGGCCACTGCAGCCTCGACCTGCTGGGCTCCGTGATCCTTCCGCCTCAGCCTTCCAAGTAGCCGGAATTACAGGCGCGTGCTACCACGCCCGGCTAATTTTTGATTTATTGTAGAGGTGAGGTCTCGCCAAGTTGCCCAGGCAGGTCTCGAACCTGCAGGCTCAGGCAATCCACTCACCTTGGCCTTCCAAAGCATGAAATTACAGGCTGGGCCACCAAGCCTGACTGAGATAGGTATTATTAATCTCATTTTACAATGAGGATCTAGGCTCACAGGTAAGTAACTAATCCAAACCACACAATAAGTAATGGTAGTCCTGGAATTAAATTTAAGTCTGTCTGAGCCAGACTGGTACTACATTCCGTCAGTCTATTCTGACACAAAGAAGGTAAGTCACAGAAATTCTAATCTTTCTAGCTGGGAAGACTGTGATAGTTAGTTACTCATGCTATCGAATGGAATAGAAGTTGAAAGGCAGAACCCATTTGGGAAAAATAATGATGAATGGTTTTTTGAATTATTAAGTTTGAGGTTATAGTGAGCATCCATTTAGGAATATCCAGTAAATGCTGAAGTTGTGTAACCAGACCTTTGGTGAGAGAATGGAATTCAGGAGAGCTACCTGATATCTGTTAGCAGAGAGATAATGTCTGATACTGAGAGAATATGTGAGGATGAGTCTATAGAGAGGGAACAGTCAGGGCACCAAGCTTTGGAGAATGGCCACATTTAGAAAGATAGACCAGTTTGCAAAAGACAACTAGGATTCAGATAAGCAGAAAAAAGATGAGAATAGAGTATTATGAAAGCAAAAGAGGAGAGAGTTTCAAGAAAAATATAATCAGAAACAGCAGCATTAGAAAAAAGAGAATAGTGGGAAGTATCAACAGTGACCTCTGAGATGTATATTTTAAACAGGACTCTCAGGAATGAAAGGGAGATTAACTTAATAACAGGAAGAGAGAGTCTATTCTAGGAATGTAGCGCAGCCTAAACAGTGGTTGGGAAACCTTTGGTCACACTGGCTCACTGAATTTAATTTAAATGAATTAAAATATTTGGAAAAGCACAAAGCCCTTTTTCTAAAAACAAAAAAATTATATTTTACTCAAATACCTTTAAGATTAAAGACTAAGAATAAACCTTTATTCACTGAAATTATAAGATAACTTTTTGAACATTTATTTCTTTATTATAACCAGTTAGAAGAACAAGATGTGGATAGTGAAAGGGAAAAAAACACCTACCTTATAAAATATGCATAATAAATTATATGTATATTTTTAAATGTATAACAAAGTAGAGAAGAACTCAGATACCCATAGAAACTCATATACGCTAAAAGCCAAGGTTGAAAAGAAACAATTTCATGTACAAATGCATACATTAAGTGACCTTCAAAGTTTTATAGTTCTATGACTATAGGTACAAATAGAGACAGTACTCAACCATTACATAAATAGTCCAAACTAAATGATTACCAGATAGTCTTTGTGGAAGTTGTAGAGAGAATGGTTCTTGATAGGTCATGTGGGTCTGACACTGTGAATCTATAAACATGTTATCTAATGAATTGAAATATTTTCCAAGTTAAAGGGATTCTGTGAAATATACTGCATTATCTCTCTAACCCTCAACTGATTAATGTTTATAATTATGTTTTGTTATTCTCTACTCATCAGTTGAATTTGGGGAGTGGTCACCTAATGTGACAGTTCATTTTGTGTGTCCAGAGACACACCTTTCTTTTTTCTTTTTTTTTTTTTTTTTGAGTTGGAGTCTCACTCTGTCGCCCAGACTGGAGTGCAGGGGCCGCTCCCAGCCACTGCATCCTTGACCTGCTGGGCTCAGGCGCTCCTTCTGCTCAGCCTTCCAAGTAGCTGGAACTACAGGCACGCGCTGCCATGCCCAGCTAATTTTGATTTATTGTAGAGATGAGGTCTCGCCAAGTTGCCCAGGTGGGTCTTGAACCCGCAGGGTCAGGCAATCCACTCACCTCAGCCTCCCCAAGCGAGGGATTACAGGCTGAGCCACTGAGCCCGGCTGAGACACAGCTTTCACCATGACTGTAAGAAATACATTAGTGAGAGGAATCCCAGCATCCTTGGAGAGCTCTGTGATCGTTCTTCTCTGTGGGCAAGACCTCACAGTGGGAACTTGGGTCACTTAATTGGGAAACCTAAATGCAGTAGGAGTGATTGGATATCAGGGTGGCAGGGACCAAGTAGTGGCACTCAATTGCCAAGGGCAAGGTGGGCATGGTTACCATAGGGGACAGCGGAGACAAAGGAGCAAGCAGAATTAGTCTGACTTTTGCAGACTTTTGGCATTACTCCTGGTGCTCCTAGAAGTAAAATAGATAGGTAGCCTATTAAATTCTTACTTGATCTATATAAAACAAAAGTTCTAGAGCAAATGAACAGAAGTCTAACCTGATTCTTAGAAAGAGTCATAGCCCCTCAGTTCCCAGACTTGAGCCAGTTTATAGACCCAAAACCCTTTGAGTGAAGGGAAGTGTAGGTCCCCTTGAGGAAGGACCCTAGTACACTGTCAAAACTTTCCCCAGCCTCCCCAAAGGGACTTATGACACTTTATCAGGGCAACTGCTTTGGGGTAAAGAACATAATCAGACCTTTCAAGGACTACCAGACACTGAACCAACACTAATTGTAGGAGACCCAAAATGTCACTGTGGTCTAGTGATCAGAACAGTGACTTAGAGGTTAGGTAATCAATGAGTCTTAGCTCAAGTTCATCTCACAGTGGGCCCAGTGAGTCCCTGAACCCATCCTCTGGTTATTTCCCCAGTTGTGGAATGCATAATTGGAATAGACATACTCAGCGGCTGGCAGAACCCCCACATTGGTTCTCTGGCGTGTGGAGCAAGGGCTATTAGGGTAGGAAAGACCAAGTGGAAGCCACTGGAACTGCCTCTAGGAAAATAGTAAACCAAAAGCAAAACTACATTCCTAGAGAGATTGCAGAGATTAGTGCATCAAGAACTTGAAAAGTGCAGAGATTCTGATTCCCATCACATCCCTGTTCAGCTCTCCTCTTTGACCTGTGCAGAAAACAGATGGATCCTGGAGAATGTTGGTGGATTAGTGTCGGTGACCAGCACTGACCAAGGGTGGGTTAGGACCTGCACCGGAGAATCAGGAGACGGCGAGAAGACCACTCGGAGGCACTTCTTCTGGGAACAGTCTGATCAGGACTGGAGCC